ATTTTGGGGTATCTCTAAATTGATGACCTGTGGGGGCTTTTAAAGTGTCTTTTATTGATTTTTTGGGGTACTGCAGTTTTTCGCCGTTTCACGGTCGCACGCAATCTGTAAACTGGGCATGTTGGGTATCGTTTTACTCGTTGTAACCTCATCTTTTATATTTCATTAAAAAAATTGGTAATTTGTTGTGTTTTGGGGCATTTAATTAAATTTGTCACTAAATTTTGGGGTTTAATAAGGAGTTGCGCTAATATTGCGCAACATAAAAATTTTCAACTACCACCATTTTATTCTATAGGGTCTTGGCATTCAGAAAATATATAATGTTGGGGGGTTTTACGTCATTTTCAGGCCTAAAATGTGGAATATAACATGGGTGCAAAAATGGAAAAAAGGGCCTCAGTCATGAAGGGGTTAAAAACAGTCTTTATTCATATGAACATTTTAAAAGGGGAATATTAAAAACACCAACATCACTCAAATATATTTATAGCTCATAACTGTTTTTTCTGATATCAACCCCAAAAGCCTGTTACTTACAGAAGTTTGTCTGGATGAATAGCGGAGTCAGCGCAGACAAAGTAACATAAGCATACATGTGCTCTAATGCACACTGCCACTAAAACTGACAAAACCTCAGACTGGTTGTTTTGGATCACTATATACATGTGAATACATATTTGCTTGATTGAGAGTGCTAGAGTCCATGTAGACTTTCTAAAACTTTAAAACCTGGTGAAATGGGAGCTTGTGATGTTGCTAAAGATTTTTTAAAATATTTTGGGCTCTTAACCTTTGACTTGGCAATCCTTTCAAATTAGATCAAACAGATGTACCATGCTAATCAATAATCATAATATGTAAATAATAAAGTGCTGGATATCAAATAAATAACATTTAACCAATATAGTTAATAAATACTAATAAATAATAGTTACATACTTATATAGTATTTAAGGTTGAACAAAGACACAGGTCCATCGAGTCCAAAGTTTGTAAGTGTTTGTGTAGTGCGTGCATGTGTGTTCATGAGTCCCTTAGCGTCTTAGGTTTTAGGAGCACCTGTACCCCTGAGGATCGTTTGATTACAGATGGTGGACCGGAAAGGGTTAATCACTCAATTAAGCAAGCATCCTGTTGCCAGGATATTAATGTTTGGCACCAGCTAAAACATTATATAAAACAATCTATTTGTGCACTTATATTATGTATTGCATATACAAGGTAATATTTTGCCATAAGTTTACCGGGATCCATGTTCCAATAAATAAGCATGCATGTTACATAGTATTTGAGGTTGAATAAAGACAGAGGTCCATGGAGTTCAACGTGTGTGTGTGCGCACGTGCGTGCACGCATACGAGTCTGTGTATGTTCCAGTCATTAGGAGTACCTGTACCCCTGCATGTTACAGTCTCTGAGAAAGGTATCTAATTGATTTTTTAGTGATTTAATACTCTGCTGCTACCACTGCTTGTGGCAGAGTTCCAAAATCTAACCAGTGTGACGGAGAAGAAGCCCCTACGCCCTTTCTGGTTAAACATTTTCTCTACCAATTTTAGGTGGTGGCCTGTAGTCCTTGTTAGAGTAAAAAGTTTATTGCTGATGTTGCCATCACCACCAAACCTTTTGTACATTAAAATCATGTCCTCTCTTAATCGCCTCACTTCCAGTGTGAACAAGTCTAAATCTACCAACTTTGTCTCATAGCTTTGATCCTCCAGCCCCTTAATCAGTTTAGTTGCCCTTCTCTGGACTCTCTCCTGCTCAAAGACATCCTTTCTGTGGATAGGTGACCAAAACTGAACTGCATACTCAAGATGAGGCTGAACCAGCGATCTATAAAGTTGCAAAATTATCGCTTTGTCTCTACAGAACATTCCCTTTTTAATATAAGACTCTGTTAGCTTTATTTGCCGCAGCCTTGCGGCACAAGCTATTATTCAATCTGTGGTCTACTATGACCCCCAAATCTTTTTCCATTTCTGAATTACCTAGTGGAGTCCCCATTAATGTGTATTCTGCTTGCCTATTGTCAACCCCAAAATGCATTACTTTACATTTTTCAACATTAAACCTCATCTGCCACAGTTGCTTACTCCGCTACTTTATTCAGATCCTCCTGTAATGTTATAATGTCATATCCCATGTCTATTACCCACCCAATTTTAGTATAATCTGCAAACACAGATACATTGATATTAACACCTTCCCCAATATCATTAATAAACAGGTTAAACAGTATTGGGCCTAGCACAGGACCCTGGAGCACACCACTCATTACTGTAGCCCATTGTGAAAAAGATCCATTTATCAATACTCCCTGGACACACCATTTAATCTATGCCCATAGATTTCAGCTTGTGTATTAAGCGTTTATGTGGTACCGTGTCAAATGCTTTTGCAAAATCCAGGTACACCACATCCACTGGTTTTCCTCTATCCAGATCTCTACTCACCTCCTCGTAGAATGTTAGTAGGTTGGTCTGACAAGAATAGTCCTTCATAAATCCATGTTGATTATCACTTATTATACCTTTGTCACGAACAAAATCCACTAAATAGTCCTTCATCATTCCTTCAAATAGTTTGCATACTATTGATGTTAGATTGACTGGTCTGTAGTTCCCAGGTTGGCATCTTGAGGTTTTTTTGAATATTGGTACTACCGTTGCTTTACGCCAGTTGCTTGGTACCCTTCCAGTCATTAATGAGTCATTGAAAATGAGGAATAACAGTCTCGCTATAACATGGCCGAGCTCTTTTAGTACCCTGGGGTGCCGGTTATTTGGTCGTATTGATTTATTGGCATCACGTTTTACAAGTCTTTGTTGAACCCCGGCTACTGTCAACCAGTGCCGTATTTTACTGATGATATCTCCATTAAACCCGTCTTTTTCTAGAGTGTACACTGAGGAGAAAAATTAATACCTCAGCCTTCTCCCTGTCATTTGTGATTAATCTCCTGTTCTAATCTTTTATTGGGCCTACCTGCTCTTTTCTTACCTTTTTACGGTTTATATATTGGAAGAAGTTTTTGGGGTTCTTTTTACTGACTGTGGTGATATGCTTTTTGTAATCTATTTTAGCAGCTCGGATTGCATGTTTACTTATCTTATTACATTTCTTGTAGCTCTTATATTTTTTTACATGCCAGCTTTTTGTCTTTGATTGTTGTTTTACAGTTTTATTTAGCCATGCAGGCTTAGCTCTTGATCTATTATTTTTGTTACCCAATGGTATGCACTTGGTTCTGGTCAGACCAACACACTTTTTTAAATCATCCTGTGGTCATTATTACCCAATGTATCCCTAATTTCTATGTCCTCAACTAGGTCCGCATTATTAGTGATAATGCGGATAATACACGCAATAGGTTGGACTTGATGGACTTATGTCTTTATTCAACCTCAAATACAATGTAACTATGTAATTCAATTCTTCCTGGTTGCGACCTCAACCATCTGATCCATGAAATTGTCCTGCAACAGGTTTAGAAAACAGCCAGACTTTATATAGCGAGCACTACCATGTAACCAATCAATGTCTGGATAATTGAAGTCACCCATTATAACAAAATTTCCCTGTATCCCAGCTATTTCTAT